GAAGAACAGCAGCAATAATAACTCAGGCAGTGAGAAACCTAGGCAGCCAACTGGAACTTCATCAAGTTCGGGGTAGAGGACTAGCTACACTACATGCCTCACCTGTTTAACGTTGCAAGTATCAATCGCGGTGCGCAGCGGCCTCAGCAACTCAAGCACCTCCCGGTCGGGGTCCAGCGACGGATGCTGCAGCACGTACCGTGCCATGCCGCCATAGTAACCGAAGAGGCCCTTCACGGTCACCTCCGGCACCATGTCGTACATCTTGCTGGGGGCATGTAGTGGTGGTGGAGGGGGGGAAAGCGAGTGGCTGTACACCACTTATACAAGGCTTTACACATGGGCGACTTTAGTCATATCAACCCTGATTCGCTGTACTACTGCGTAAATTTCAAGTTACAAACTCAAGTCTAAGAACGTTACAAAGTACTTTCAGCACTAGTTGCAGCATGCACCACGTGAGCTAGCCCTCCTCCCCACTCGCCCCACACCCAGCACCTGCGGCAGTCAAGCAGCTCCTCGAGCTCCCAGAGAGGCATGTACAGCACGTCCGCGCCTTCTTTAACTATCACCTGCAGCCCGAGGGAGGGAGGGAGGGAGAAGTACAATGAAGCACAGACGATTGCAAGGAAGGGCGACAGGCCTACGTTCTGGCCTTTCCTGGCCATCTAGTTCGTTAGGAATGGATACACTTAGGAAGCAACTAACGGACGAGTCCAGGATGCTGCATGTCGGGTGTGCGAAGTCAGCAATGGTACACCCTCTAATCACATCTCGGCCCAAGATGCTTACCTTCATCGTTTCATGCACAGGTGAGGTTAACAGCACCGTGTGCGCCGCAGTGCTGGTGTCGGGCTTCACCCCATCTGCAAAGTACCTGACAGGATAAGGTAACGAGATGTCGAGGGACAAAATGGACCCAATGAATCCAGGAGGCCCCAGGTATGTAGCAGCTGGGCAAGTGCAGAGCACGGCCTGTAAGCACATCATCCATCAGCTCCCTGTCACGGCAGCACCCAACTGCCTGCCACCCATGCATGTAGGCATAGCTAGCTAGCTAGCTAGCCAGACAGCTAGCTAGCCAGACAGCTAGCAACCATGCATGTACACACATATGTACATATATGTAATATGAAAATATAAATGTTTATGTATGTAGATGTATGTATGACTGAGATTACACTGTGGGCCGTGAGAGCCGAAGCCGAAACACCAACACACAACGCAGCCGCTCCACAGCACCTCCATCCGGGGATGGCGCTGCAGTGAAAACATGACGGGCTCTCAGGTCCCGCTAGAGCTAGTCCACAAGCCCTCTACCCCCCCCCAAAATACAACCAACGACGAAGGGAACCCAAGGGAAGGAAAAAAACGAAAAACGAAAGAAGTCGGCAAGGGCAGCCCAGGCAGGGGAGGGCTCCTGATACACCTAGCAAGCCATTACAAACTTCCAAGAAAGAAAGGTTTAGAGCACTAGAAACCACAGGACGTCTTGCAGCCAACTTACGACAACTGACCTCCTCTGGGCTGGTCCAGGGGATAAGTAACCAACCAAAGAAAAGGGACCACACACAAGCCCGATCAACACTGCAAGGGCTCAGGATAGACCAGCGAGACCACATACGGGATAACGTTGCCACAACACACAGCTCCTAGGCCCTCCAGGACACTGCAGGGGGAGGATAATTGTATGATGTATCAGTGTGCTGTGCTGCACCAGTAGAACCCACCAGGAATCACGGTTGTGAAACTGCCGTCTGAAGGCTATGTTGTTGCCGACCCAGACCTCGCCCGTCTCATGCGTGTAGCACCACTGGTGACCAGAAGGGGCAGAACAAGGAAACAAATGTAAAACAGCTCCTAGACCAGCACACCATGCAGTACAGTACATGTGTAACCCACCACTATGTCAGGCCTTGTGTGGTGCTCCCAAAGGATATAGGGTGGTGGCGACGGGCTGTGCAGCAGCCGCATTAGCAAGTAATAGAAGGAGAAACTCTTACCAATCCCAGGTGTCCCAGTAACTGCACCAAAAAACACAAGGGCAAGGGGATAGCCTTGGGCATCAAGCACGTGGAGTGAGCAATCGACAGCAGCAGAACAGACATAGCTTTACAGAGGGGCTCTGGTGCTCTGAAAAATGAAAAACCGAACCGCATTGATTGTTCTCAGAGAGTGCAGCAGGCTAGTACCAGCCACTAGCTAGTCAATTACATGTAACAAACATCAGCTGGCCCCAACCTGCACATATACATCGCAACCCACATGCATTCACAAGCCACAAATGTTGACGTTGTGATCAC